AAAACAAAAAAAAAAAAAAAAGGGTATCCTTACGTAATAATTTTCATATGATTAGCACTTTCAAAACGAATTATAACTTATCGGTTTCTTACCTTATAAAAAATAACTTACTCTGTTTTCTGGTGTTTGTTCCAATAGAAAGCTAAAAGCTCCTTTAAATAGTTTCCTACCATTTAATTTGAGAGTGCGCGCGCGCCTTTGGGAAACATCTTTTGCATACCCTTAATAATTGCTATTATGAATTTACTTACAACTGCATAATTTACATTATAAGTTGGATCAGTGCAACCAAATCCAATAATAATACAAAACCAAAATGAAATAAGCTCTTTCAATCATTTTGATGAGTAAGTGACAATGCAGTATAATCACTTGCTTTTTGCTGCATCAATTTTGTGCTGCTAATGTCTTTTTTCGTTCTTGGCAAATCAACAGTTGACATCTAAATATGGAGACACATTAGAAGATAAACTTAGATGTTTGCGATGCTGCTTCTCAGTGTTAAGATGGACAGCATATCAAAACCTTTCACTCCAAAAAACAGCTAGTGGAATATGTGACTTGATTGAGCTCTTGATTTTACAAGATTTATGTACAAACAGAGAACAAGTACGAATAGCTAACAGCAACAGATGCAGAACAAGGATCAATGCGACTTGATCATAAGATCAAAAGATTACTCCATAACGAGCTGCATATGACGATTGAGATCTTTGAGATAAGTTGTGTTACTGTAATCGTCTAAATCACAAGCATCCAGCATCAATGATCTTCCTCCCGTTGATTTCTGCTTCATGTCTATGGGTTCGTTCTCGCCTTTCAACAGCTGAACAGCCTGCATAGTCCAAGAATTTACAAGCATTCGGGTAAATCTCATCTTGTACTCATAGATGGTTGTTTTGCATGCATTCAGTAACATCTTGTACCAAATCCTATTGTTTGCATAATGATAAAGTTACTAGAAATGAAGTTGAAATCAATTCAGCTTAGGTTTCGTTTTACATCCTTTATAGCATTTCTAGTCATTTCAGTTGCCATTTCACGTTCGGACAATAGGATAAGTTATTCTAGTTCGTTGTCTAAGGATTTCCAAACTGGTTGCTTTGAGGTTTTGGATTGGATGGTCAGATTCTTTTCAAATGTGTCTGGGCTAAAGTTTTTTTCAACTTGCAAACAGAGGTAAAAGATAAAGACGTACCCGTTTCATGTTGGGACGCATGTTTGGCAAGTGGTGAATGCATGTAGAAGCTGTAAACATGGCTCGTTTCATCTCAATAACATCATAGGTATCGAGCAGACGAGGATCTGCTAATTCCTTGATGTTGTTCTTTTCCAGCATCGGTTTTGCCTATGCAAAAGTAGCAGCAGATATGAATATTTCTTCCAGAAATTCAAAAATTAGAGGCAAATCCAAGATTCAGAATCTATGAATTCAAAATGAGGTAATCTTCTTATCTGTATACACTTTAAACTTTTGGCATATGAATATATTTTTCGAGTCAAAAGTAATGAGTTTAGTTGAACCCCTGCATCAAACAAGTTTGTCGAAAGAAAGTGTCTATTTAACAAGACCATACCCACATCACAAGACTCTGTCGGGATGAATCAACAGCACGACGACCAGTAATAAGCTCCAATAGCAGAACTCCAAAGGCAAAAACATCGGTCTTCTCATGAACAATTCCATGCATAAAGTACTCTGGTGCCATATATCTGAGAACAAATTTATGTCATATTTTGATCAAAGTCACAGTTTTGATGGATGAATTCATTTAAAATGTAATAGAGCTGAACTTTACTTACCCAAAAGTTCCTTCAATTGGGGAAACAATATGATGAGCCCATTTTTCTGGCAACCACTTTGCAAGTCCAAAATCAGATATCTGCAACAATATGAAATTATTCATTACAAGTGAGTGACGTAAAATTATCATTACAAGTAAGGTTTTCAAAGGAAAACAAGATTGAAAACCTGAGGTTCATAATCTTCAGTAAGTAGAATGTTAGATGCTGTAATATCTCTATGGATTATGCGCCTTTGGCAATCAGAATGAAGATAACGCAATCCTTCAGCTACTCCAACTGCCACTTTATATCTTATTTTCCATTCAAGGCACTCTTCTCTACCTGAAATGCTGAGTTCTTCATTATCAGTCAAAACACAACATCAAAATCCCAATTCACCTCATTACATTTTATACTTCATTAAATGATACATATCCAAGTAATAAAGCATTAGACTAGAGATCAAGATCAAACAAGCATAGTTTGTTATTCCCCTGAACCGTGTGACCACCTCATCATCAAACCTAAAAATGTTTGAAAGAAAACACTTTTAATTGCTTAATTATATTATGTCTCGACACGCTGCCCTTGTTTCTTTTTCATGAGCCAATTATTAGAAAATATTTTTTGTTTTTTGGTAGCAGTGATCTGAACTGAGGAACTCTACCCTGCTCTTATATCATCTTTAATTGTTTGACCACCTCATCTAAAAGTTTAAGTTTTTAGAGTGATATCATCCGATCCAAAACTTTAAGACGGGTGAAGTGGCCTCGTACATTATAAACTCCTCTAGAAAATCTGATGAGGCACTCGTGTATTTTCTAACAATTCCAAGAGAATTATTCAGTAACCAAGTCGAGAGAGAGAAATACAGCACCGTGTAGTACAGAGGCAAGGCTGCCATGTTGCAGGTATTGAAGAACAAGGTGCAGACCACCATCAACACTGAAACCAATTAACTTAACAGCATGAGGATTATTGATATGAGCAATGATTCCTAGCTCAGATAAGAAGTCTCCAACTCTGTCCTCGTCATTCTTTTCTTTCTTTGTTATTTTCTTGACTGCTACAACTTGTCCATCAGGTAAATGTCCTTTGTACACTTCTGCATGTCCTCCTTTGCCAATTAAGTTATCTGTCATGTTTCCAAGGTATAAAATCAGTAGAATATTTAGCATAAACTACGTGCAAACTTAGTTGATGTTGGCTCTTCTATTTTCAAGTAAGCGTGCACATTATGCAATCTAATTATAAGAGTTATACGTTTCCTTGAAAGCAACATATTTTAGGCAAAATTGAGGGATTCTTGGACAAACCTTCTTTTGTTAATAGCGGTATTGGGACCCAACTTGAGCGTAACTATTATCCAAGATGGACACAATATTCTAGTCAATCAATGCCCCTAAAGGCTTTTAGTGTTTATGGTCTCAAGTGTTTTAAATTAACAATTTTCAAGGTATATACATATACATATATAATATAAGATTTGTGCCGAAACTTACGGGTATGGTGACCCCACACTATAGCACATAGGTTCACCTCTGCCCCTGCAGTAAATTTATGCAGAAAAAAAAATCACCGAGATTTTTCTTATTCTAGTCTTCTATATTCTCCTCCACCTAGAATTCTTGGATGATTGGACTATTCTTTACTTTTTTTTTGAGTCAATATTTAATGGCAAGAAGCTGCAGGCATGTGCAGATGAGTACACCTGCAGCTGCATATTTCAAATTTGAGGGGACAAATTGAAACATCAAGGCCCATAGACAGTAATGGAAAAATTAAATAAGTTGGTTAATAGACTGTGTCATCACTCTCTTCTAGGCATAAGGGTATTATGATCTCAAGGATTCAAATTCAGAATTTCCGACCAAGATTACCAGCTTTCCACCTTCCTAATGTATAATAAAATAAGTCAAGTGTTTACCCCACCTTTCTGATGTATAAAAAAAATGACATGGGTTCACAAAATATTTCGCTGAGGTTTGAGAAATGACTACTCCAAGAAATTTCGATATAGTTGGTCTATCCTAATATAAATATTAATGATTGATTCCGTTGCTCGAACCTGTAATCTTTAAAGGGAAAACTTCTCAATGTCGCTCAAAAATAAGAAAAGACCTAGGTAGTGAAATTAAAGGTCAGATGGTGTAAATACGACCAGTCACCATCACTTTCATTGTTGTAGAAAAAACTTGAGCAGTCCATGTTTACTTTTCTGCCAAGGCCAAAGAAAAGTAGAAGATCAAGTACAAGGCTGCTTTGACTACTGAGAAGTGGGGTAGTTGAATTCCCTAAGAACCCAACATTAAAAAACTAAAAACTTAAATGTGAACTTATTATAAAGCAGGCAATAGCATGCGGCCTTAAAATGCACAAAAAGTACTCTGCATATGTCCCATACCTGTCTAGGCTCCTGCTTCTAAATTCATTATATATAAAAGGCGACAGTGCCAATATTGTCTTTTTATGTATAAATCAGTATTTTTTAAAGTTTTCTTAACAAAGCGGAGCCTCAGAACAAGGGATAAACGTTATGCGCTTTTACACGTGATTTATGTGATGCCTGTGACAGAAAGTGAGATCATGAAATCGGATCAAGAAAAAAAGACTGATATGCTTCAATAAGGTGTCGCAAAAACAGTAAATATGACACATTAAGCAAATCCAACACCAAAAAAAAAAAGAGGAGGAAAGTGAAGTGCTATAAAATAAGGCACAAATTCACATAGTTCGCTTTTCTGGTGAATACAATATGACGTAAACTAAAAGACAGATCTATGAGCGTTGATCAAAATAAACAATACGTATTATGAATTGTGACAAATAGACCAAGGTTCAATTCTTGGAACCAATCTCTTAATAAGGGAGATATTGTAAAATTTTCTTATTAGTGTATTTAAGTCTTTTTATAATTGAAAATTTTATGGTTTAGAAGAAGGATAAGGATTTTAATGAGTTAAAGTTTTGGGTGGAGCGGTAGTAAAGTCTTGTCTCTGTCAAGAAAGAGACATGCCCCTAATCTAACTGTTCCATGTTATAAAAAGCAGGGAACGTTTTAGGTTTCTAGTAACCCCACAACTAAAACTTCTTATTAATTTAAATTTCTTTGACTCAATTACCATTAACACTGCAAAAGTTCTACATTCCTTCCCAAAATAGACCTGAATCTCTTCAAATTTCAATTTATGTATTTATTTTGGGCAATAACCGGTGTGTTTCTTTGAAAGAACATGAAGGAGTATTCTAAAAAGAAAAAAGAAAAAAGAAAAATCTGCAAATTTCTAATTTCAATAACTCAAACAAAAATGTTTTAGTAAAAAAGAATAATCTTTTTTTTCTTGGAAAAGTAGAAAAAGGCTCCAGATTTTTATACTCCCATATTGTTTTATAGCATCCCAAGGACAAATGGGAACATATAGCACATTTTCAGAGAAAGGTACTAATTGACCTTAGGGGTCGTTTGTTTGGAAAGAAAATTATTTCGAGATTAGTTATTACACGGGGATAAAAAAATTCTATAACCCCGGAATAATTAATCTCGAGATTAATTATACTGTAATTTTCTACCAACCAAATATGGGATAAACTCTTCTTAAATTTAATTTCGGGATTAATTATTTCTTATCCCTCTTAATAAACGAGCCCTTAAGCATAAATAATTTTGAAAAAAACTACAAAATATACTTAAAACTTAAAATTATGTAACACTAAAGTGTATGGTCTAAGTCAATAAAAGAAAAACTATGAAAAATCACGATCCAAATTATAGAACATATAAATAAAGTAATTTGAAGGGGACATTGGATCAGTGGTAAAATTATCTCCATCCACCTGACTTCAGTTGCGGGTTAGAGCCGTAAAAGACGACAATAATAGTTATATTATGGTAGGTTCTCTATACGCTAGATGATTTGTTCGCCAGATTAACCTTTATAACAAAAGTAATGTGTATTTTCTTATCTATCTAAATCTTATTCTGACGAGTTATTCAATAATTGTGTTGAGAGACGGTAAATATCTAATAGAATAGTTAAAGTGCGTACAAATTGACATAGATATCAAATTGTAGATTTACCTGGAGTGAAATTATCAGTAGCTTGAGCAAGTTCATCAAAGCTAAAATTCCTCCAAGAAGGCTTAGGCACAACAAAATCATGGCAATCAATTCTATCTTCTTCTGCACTTCGAATTCTAGCCAGTAATTTCCTCTTAATATTTTTCTTTGGTAGTAAATTTTCATATCCTCCAAATAATTGTATAGTCGATAATCTTCTTATAGACTTTTTCTTCATTTGATCAAAAAAATTCTTAAAACTCAATCCTTGCTCCGCTTCCTCTCCTCCTCCACCTCCGCCACCTCCGCCGCCGGAAACTGCCGATTTTTCGCCGCCGGGAGACGGAGATGACCCGAAACTGCAGCTCCTTTCCCCGCTGCTAATGCTGCTGTTGTCGGAATCTGATGTACCTGAGATATGAATTTCCAAAACTGCCCTTGGTGATGACTGATCATCTTTGGTTTTTTTGTCCTTTTCTCCATTTTCTTCTTTACCCTCCAAAATTTCTATTTCTACTTTTACTTCTACTTCTTCTTGTTCCTTTTCTGCTTCTTCTCTCTTCATATCTTCTTTTGCTCCATTTTCTTGAACTTGTACAACACTTTCACCTACAAAAATTCATATTAGAGAAAAAAAAATCAATTTTCCTCCCAGTTTTTTGCTCTACATGACGGATGCAGTATACGTGAAAATTACTAAAAATTTTACGAATATTAAGTTCTTAACCCATAATTGTAAACGTATAATGAGCTCAATGACGTAAACATAAAAACAGAAAGACAGAACTCAA